ATAAAAACACACTTTTGGTCTATTCTAACAGAAAAACAGAAATGATTATAATCTCAATTTAATTTGCTTGATCTTTTGGTTGTAAAAAGTAAGGTTGTTTCTTAAATATGGAGGTTACCGCAAAGAAAGCAGTAAGAAAGGCATTCAAATCTAGCGTATTTACTACATTTAAATGGATTTATTCAAAATTTAAATCTATATTTTAATATTTTTAATCCAAATCACTTCGTACTATATGACCACCATGCTGACCATTAGGCTAGCCAGGCCGATCACCAGGCCAACAACATGGTTAGATTATCAGAGGTAATAATTTATTAAACTCCTAATGTAGATTAAGGTATGATTGGACTGTCATTAGGTTAGCGAAAGGTAAAAACCCATTAGAACTATTATATAATGTTCTTAGGTATGACTTTAGAACATCATGCACACAATATGCATCTTTAGCTAATTAAACGGTCACCTACTCACTTAAGCATTGGAGTGCTTTCTACAAATACCTTTCCACATGTTATGGATGAGCGAAACAAAATGTAGTCGAGCTTCCCAACAAGTCGATCAGTCTCCTCCCTATCCTGCACGATTTGCTGCAGTGCTCGGTCGACCACCTGCATATCATGCCTTGGTCTGCTACAGTGATTGGTTTGCTACGTCAAGTTCATGACTGCTATTGTGTTCCTCAACAATCTCCATTCTCAAATTCGGCCTAATACCCTTTGCGCGGTAACATTTTGACCCCATCGTGGGGCCCGAACGACATCCCATTGCAATCACAAGGAGTCTAATGAACAACACAAGGGAGGATGACTACCTAGCCCGCTAGTCTTAATCATCTTCAATCATGACGACCCAACTTTCGTTCTAATGCACGTTCATCTTCATCCAAGCTTCAAGCATAGACCGTGACATGACACTATATATTGATCGGCCAGTTTCGATCAACAAGAACAGGTCAACAGGGAAAGTTCTTCATGAACTTCTATCAGAACATTCTCACAATAGCTACTTTCTTAGTCAAACTCCTTAACCAAATATTCATTTCTACAATTTTCCTTTGGTTAACTTTTACTTTCTTCATCAACAATTCTTCCTAACTCACCTTATCCTCATTTGCATCTTCTCGCGGCATTGTCCCCTCATCCAAATGAAGGGCACCACAAATGATTAGATTCCCACGGTCCTCCTCACGAAGGAACCACTCCCAACATATCTATCAACATTAAAAATATTTAGTTCTTTCAATAATCACATGATTTAAAACATATCAAGTTAATGCATCCAAAGATATCAAGTAACTTACACCTTTTGTTATGGAAGAACAACTCTATTTTCTTTGACCTCAACTTTAGTGAAAGCCAACTTAGGATTCTAGGGAACACAACATCATGATTGGGAACCACTAAACACAGATGTTCAGTGGCCCAAAGCTACAAAAATACTATAAACTAACATCAACAACAACTCTTTTACAATTTTAACATACCAAACTAAGATTATAATTTTCTTACCTGCAACACTGTAGCATTGTTACTAATGCCAAAAGAGTCCAAAATTTGTCGCTCCGGTATGATTATAGATCTCTTATTTAAATTCTTAACCAAAAAAGTTTGGACAACAGTTGCCCAATCATAATCATAGAACCTATCTATATCATCCAATATTGTACATGGCATGTTACTAACTATCCTAGATTTCCTAGAAAAATAAAATATAATATAAAAACACTAAAATATACAAACGACGTACACGATCTACATCGTTCTCCTTATTTTCTATTATTAATTTTATCTTTTTACAAGTTTGAACTAAACTATTCACTAATAATGCCACAAACATTCTCATCAAAATTTACCTCCAAACCACTCACACCCAATCTTAAACACATTCGAACATCAATCACGATAAATGGTAATGGACCTTTGTGTATGCAGTCACAACTTAAACGGAGTCTCATCGATACACGCAAGATCATTATCTCTTAATAAAACATTTAACTCATTATATCTTTCGTGTCATACCACGGTCATAAACAAAACTACCAAAATTTTCAAAAAACAATCAATGATTAATAAACATTATTAAAAGAAAATAAAGAAATTCTAATATTACATATTTACTTATCTTGTTTTCACCTTTTTCTTGTAGAATGGATTCCATTGATGTAAGAAGAAACAAGGTCGAAAAAAGAAACAGGGTCAAAAATTCGAAACTATACACCCAACAATAAACCAAACCAATAAACCAAATCCCTAAAATTGAATTTTCCAGATCATTTTGTTTTGGTTAATAATTCAAGCAATGTGAATCAATCATTTGTTGACCTGTGTCGGAGTTAAAAAATTGTCAAAAAAAAAAGATGTCAATATATCATTACCTATATATTATACAGGTTTTAACCACTATCTTATCTCTACTAACCCACTCACCTTAATTGTCCTTCCATTGGTATTTCAGTTTCCCACTTTTCCTTAATTCCCTGCACTAATATGTTTTCTGCACTAGGTCCAAGCCACATCTCGGTTTACTCCTTGACTAAGCAGAATTATTAGTGTCCAATATTAGATGGATTATCAATGTTAATCTGACACTACTATAAATAATTAAAAATATTTATAATTATTTTTTTAAATAACTTTTTCATTGTATTAAATTCAGTTTAACAACATAGTAATTTTGCTGACTCTTTGAAACATGTTTTGTTTTGTAGTAACACTATAATTAAACGAAGAAATGTTACTTTAGACAAATAAGGTGAAACTCTGGACTTGACATTTTGTTTGGTAATTTGATCTAACCATAAAATTTGTTTTACTAAATAGAACTGCGAAACCCACATGCAGACAAAGGACAACACTTGTTGGATAATCTCATTTTGTATAACCATCTTTACCACCTGTTTTCTTGTTTTCCTTAGAGTAGGCTGTGTTGGAGGAGAAAGTTAAATTATTTTTTTATAGGCAAAAATATATTAATAATAGAGCATTTGAGATGCTAGAATCCTTAAAAAGAAATATTTACAAGGATACTTTCTCGTACATATCCATTTGATTTTTCCTGAAATATCAAATATATCACCATTTTAAATCATTCCAATTCGGGTCTGCTGCACGGTGTATATATGTGATAATCGCATAAGAGTGGGTAGCCCCAAGTGATATACTAGTAAAACTACTGTGCTCCCATATGTCTGTCATTGTTAAATTGGTACTCTATATAAGTATCCGCAAATTTAATGCTCGGAAGTGTAATATTTTTGCTTTATTCTAGGATACGAATATATCCAAAATATACTGGTCATCATTGAATTGACGAGGATGCTTTTAAAGCAATAAATGCTGCCTCGTAGCTAACAAGTTAGTTAAAAGCTACCTACTTAAAAACATATTTTTTATGTGGATGTATTTGTTGCCTGATCACCTTGTTAACGTTTTAAATATAAAATATTGCAATAACCACTAATAAAAAAACAGCATTTAAACTCGTACAATAAGTCTCGGTTTAGGAGAAACCGAAGCCTATCAGAATGCGGTGATATTTTTGTAATTCTGTCGAACTTATATGTCTCGGTTCAAAGGAAATCGAGGCATATAAGCTGTATTACCTCGGTTGCAATTTTAACCGATGTCTAAAATCCTGAAAAATTCAACGATTTTTCAGATCCTGCTTACTGCTTCGGTTCTGTGGCGAACCAAGGCGTATAAGTTGAATGTAATTTCAAAAATGCCATTTTATATTTTTCTTTTATTTATTTTTGAGGTGTATAGGCATCGGTTGCTTTGTTAACCGAGGCATATAGACATTTATTGCCTCGGGTAAGTAAAGAACTGAGGTAGTATAACTTTTTATACTTCAAAACTCGTTAAAAATTTTAACCTACTGTTTAATCTTCTTCTTCCTCCCGCAAGAGCTCTTCTTCCTCGCACACCCAAGAAGTCTTCTTCTTCCTCGTGCAAGCCTCCATTGCTCTGGCGCCATCCTCGTTGCTCGCTTTCTTCACACTTTGGTGCCTCTGGTTCTCTCGCTGTTGCTCCAAAGTGTCTCGTTGGGCTTGGCTGAGTTTTGCGAGATCGGAAGGAAACTCTTTTCTCATGGCACGACGAGGACGCAACGACAGCGACATGGTGGCGGTTAGGCGCTGGATCTTGCGATTTGGGGCTTGATTTCTAGTTTTGGTGATTTTTGTTTGTAGGTCGCGAATGGAGTTTCTGTGAAGACGAAGCTTTCAAAGGCGTTGTCTCACAATTTCCATGGTGGCACGATGGCTTCGCGTGATGAAGATGAGTTCTTGCGGTGGTTGTTGCAATTAGTTTCGCGTATGGAGGAGATCGCGACGAGCTCGCATGCTTGGAGGTTCGGAGATGATTTGGTGGAGGCGCGAAGAAGGAAGAAAACGCGGCTAGGGTTTCTAGAAAAATGGATATCCGATTTGGATCTAAAAAAATTAAAAAAAAATTAAAAAGACTCTACTGCCTCGGTTGTCTGTGAACCGAGGCAGAATCCGAAACCTTTTGCCTCGGTTCTGAACCGAGGCAAAAAGTCTACTCCTTTCTACCTCGCCTGTATATACCTCGGTTGCGGAACCGGTGTCTATAAACGAAAATAACCGCTGTCGTTTCTCTTAACTGCACTAGTGAACATTTTGAGAAATAGGGTCAAGAAATTGAAATTCTAAAGTGGCGTTCATAGACCTCAAGCCCTATATATTTATCCACCACAATTTCATTATAATATAATTCATTCATCAATGTTATAACTTTATTGATTGTCATTAGGGCAAAGCCACTTCCTAACCCTATCTTCTTAAAAATGACAGATAAATATTTAAACTAAAGGTTTTCAAAGATGGTACCGTATTTATACGTATAATGGTAACATTCACCTACTTATGTACACTTCCAATATTTCCTTCTTTGTATATGTTAACTCCTGGCTTGCACTCACAGCCTAAGAACAGCAAGGACTGATTCGGGTTACCTTACAACAGTGTGCCATTAAAAATGGGAAGAGTGCCATGCTGTGAGAAGGTAGGGTTGAAGAAAGGACCATGGACTCCAGATGAAGACAAGAAGCTCCTGGACTACGTTCGGAAGCATGGCCATGGAAACTGGCGTTCAGTGCCTGCCAAAGCCGGTAACAATACAACTTCTGTATACCCTTTTTTCTCAATCATCGACTGTGCATGTTCTTGATATTCAGCAATCACGCTCCATATCCCCAATTTATTTGTTACGTACATGTATGATTTATATCTAGGTCTTGAAAGATGTGGAAAGAGTTGCAGATTGAGGTGGATTAACTATCTCAAACCTGGTATCAAACGAGGAAACTTCAGCGAGGAGGAAGACCGTACCATTCTTCAACTTCATGCTCTTCTTGGAAACAGGTGACCTTCTTTTGGTTTTCATACTTTCGTATTAGTAAATCAAAAGGTTAATCATATATTTCTCCGAAGCTAATCGTGTTTCTCTATTGCACACACAGATGGTCAATCATAGCAGCTCACCTTCCCCAAAGAACCGACAATGAGATCAAGAACTATTGGAATACCAACATCAAAAAAAGACTCATCAGAATGGGCTTAGATCCCATTACCCACAAAACAATTAAGCAGAACACGATTGAACCCTTTGGTGGTGGCCATGACCAGTCCAAGGACACCACCAATATCAGCCACGTGGCTCAATGGGAGGGTGCTCGACTTGAAGCTGAAGCCAGAGGGTCTCAGTTGCAAGTTATTGGATCCGGATCTTCGCAACTCTCTGGGTTAATTTTAAGCAAAATTCCAACTCAACCTTGTCTTTCATCACATTCGGTGTCAACCGAGCACAACACAGCGTATAACATGTATGCCCTCGTGCTTGCCACAACTCATGATTTTCGTTCATCTATGTCCACTCTGAGCATTCCCACGCTTCCCGCAGTTTCTAATATTCCACAAATGAAGAACACAGAAAGTTTACTTTCATATAAGGGT